AATATTTTTTAATTTTTTGCACTGAATTTTGTTGAAATTTTATCAAATTACAAATATCTAATTTTCCTTTTTCAGACAGTCTATATAGAAGTATGGCAGTATATAAAAAAATAACGGCTGAATCGTTTTTTTCTTTACTTTTTTCCTTTCATAAATTGGTTAATTTTCCTTATTAGTTCATCTACTGATCTCTATGAATCTCTAATCATGGTGATCTCTAATGCCCGCCTTTATACTTGAACCACTCACATTCGGAAAATAGGATAATAAACTCTTTTAAGAACATTTCTTTGGCCGTATGTACTTTAAAATGAAGATTATGTTTTGTAGTGGTTTTAGTATAAAAGCCAGGGCCTCAGTGTTAGTGAAGTGTTACTCTTTTATCATTCTGTTTTGTCTCCAACTCTGCTAATTTTTTATTTTTATTGTAGTATTTAAGCATAAGTTAATGTCTTATGTCGTCTATACTTTTGTTAGGATTTACCAGACCTGCTCACGGATACGGATAATATCAGGATACCCACGGATATGATGCTTCAAATCCGCGGAAATCCATCTCAATATTCTAGCCTGCGGTGCTTAAAAAATTGGACGGATACAAACGGATACGGATATTGACCTCACGGATATATCCGGATACAGATAGCAAAATCCGTATCCATGAGCAGGTCTGGTATTTACTAGGACTGGAGTTTAGTACCTAACAAACTAAAATTTTAGATCATTTTTTAAATTTAATTTTAAGTGCTTTATTCAAATTTTCTTCAAAAAATGCTTTATTCTTTGCCTACAGAAACGAAGATTGATATTTTTAAATTCCTCAGCTATGCGGATTTATGTTCAATCAAACGAACAAATTTATATCTTCGGGATTTTATTTATAAATTTGAAGGAGACCTTGCTTTGGAGAAATTTTACGAAATTTCAATTGTAACGTTTTTTGATTAATAAATTATATTTTTAAAAAATTTAAGGATTATTTTCATCGAGAATATTTTCTTAGAGAATATTCTCGTAAATTAATTAAACCCAAGGCTGAAAATTTCAACTTTCCTCTGAATGAACAACTTGAAAAGAGGGTAATTAAAATATTTAAAAGTCAAAATTTCTTTTATTTTTAGTGGAAAAATGGATTAGAAGAACCGATTCCTTTGTATTTACCTAATCTCAGTTCAAACAAAAATGTTCTTATTTGGTTATTTAAAGGAGGTTAAATTTTGTTTGAATGAAAGAAGTTGTAAATTGTGTTAGGCTAGCTTTACCTTTTTCTTTGGTTGTTTAATACTTTTATCTAGAGTTGGGCTGGATCGGGATCCCGACGTAAAATCGGGATTTTGGAATGATGATTCCGATCCCGACTGCGGGATCGGGATTTGTCTTTCGATCTCAGGATAAGAAAAATCGGGATTAAAAAACCGGGTCCGATCCCGATCCCGCCTAACTTACTTTCATCAGTTAGTGTTTAATAGTTACCATAGATGTTTTGTAAAGCTTGCATTTAACTTTAAAATATTTTAGATTACAACGGTCGAAACCTTTATCTTCTACTACAACTGCCAACAATCATTAAAAGTAAAGAAGACATCAAAATTGTTTATTATTATTTAAATAAATTATTTAATTGTTCTTTCGAATATGTCTCTATGGAAAACTATATATTCAATCCAGAATTAATTCAATTATTATTTGAAAATTCTAAACGATTTTATATTCAAAAATGTTTGCTGTTTATGGAAAACTTTAGTGAAAATAAATTAAAATTTGCTTCGAATTATTTGTGTGTTAGTGGGACCCTTACAATTACTTTTCCTCCAAATAAGGACGTGACAAATTATACGGATACTTTATTTGAAATTTTAATGAATGGAGACAAATTTAATGAATTTCATTTAAATTCAAATAATTTGCAAACACTTTTTGATATTATTATAAATGTAAGTTTTTCTCCGTAAGAGTTTAGACGGATTTAATATTTTAAATACAAACTAGCCCTATTCTTTATGTGAAGCAGAGATGGGTCGGAACAGTTAGAGGTGTCGGAAATCGGAAGAGCCGGATATCGGAACTGGCTCAAAAGTCAGAACTCGGAAATCAAAATTTTTTTCGGAAATAGGAAGGAAAAAACTTCGGAGGAATTCCGACCCAACTCTGTGAATTAATCTCAAATTTTTGACTGCTAAAATTTTTTAAAAAATATTTTTGAAAGACCCAAATCACATATTTTTATTTAACAATTTTTTTCTAATTTTAGCATATACACTGCTCCACATAATTATAAGTCCACCCCTTTTTTCGGGATTTTTTGACTTCCAGTGATCCAAATTTTCTGAAAATTTAGAAACACACCTTTTAGTGAATAACTAACAAGATGTGAATAGATTTTTGGTTGATTTTTTATTTAAAAAATTTTTAGACCAAAATTTGCAATTTCGGCCTCCACAAAATTATAAGTCCACTTTCCAGAAAAGTTAGTTCCAACAATAGGAAAAATCTACAAAAATTCCAGTAAACATACATAATGATATTATTGAAAAATAAAAAAGAACTAGACCCATATCTTTACCCGGAGCCGAGATCCTGAGACCCCGAAAATCAACGTAAAACAGGGTTTTTCAACTTTAAAAAATTTTTTCGAGCCCTTATCGATTATTTTCAATTTTGATTTTGGGCTCATTCGAAAGCCCTTGAAATTTGCTACAAGATAGCATTAACGATATTTTATAGAAAATTCGATTAGAAAGATACGGGCCGTTAATCTTCCGATGCAGCAAAAATCGTCTAAATGCCCCATAAAATGCCCTCTAATGACACTTAGAAAGTTTATCGTCTTGTGACTCTCTATGGAATTTTTCTGAGAAATAAGACCATTGCTATCTTGTAGCATATTTCAAGGGCTTTCGAATGAGCCCAAAATCAAAAAGTGAAAATAATCGATAAGGGGTCGAAAAATTTTTTTAAAGAGTCTTACCCCCGTTTTACGTTGATTTTTGAGGTCTCAGGATCTCGGTTCCAGGAAAAGATATGGGTCTAGTTCTTTTTAATTTTTTCATAATATCATTATGTATCTTTGCTAGAATTTTTGTAGATTTTTCCTAAACTTGGAAATATCTTTTTTGAAAAGTGGACTTATAATTTTGTGGAGGCCGAAAATGCAAATTTTGGCCTAAAAATTTTTTAAATAAAAAATCAGCCAAAAATCGATTCACATCTTGTTAGTTATTCACTAAAAGGTGTGTTTCTAAATTTTCAGAAAATTTGGATCACTGGAAGTCAAAAAATCCCGAAAAAAGGTGTGGACTTATAATTATGTGGAGCAGTGTAGAAGCGTCTTCAATATGCTCAAAAATGGCGGAACGCGACCATTGAGTCCCGCCGTTTGAGTCCCGCCGATTGAGTCCCGCCGGTTGAGTCCCGCCAGTTGAGTCCCTGGCCGGTTGAGTCCCGGCCGATTGAGTCCCGCCGGTTGAGTCCCCACCCAAAAGGGGACGTTTGAGTCCCCGTATTTCTTTCTAGGATCTTGAGGGATTAAGTGGGATATATGGAGTTTTGAATTGATATAAGAGTATTTGGTGAGATTTTGAGTGATAATGATACATATGGAGGGATTTCAAGCGATTTGGAGTGATTAAAGTGGATATATAGACGGATTTTCAAGACGGAATTATTGCGGGTATGGTACCACTTTGAGGTACATTATATAGGAATATAATGATGGATTATAGGTACCTACCAAAATACCGGGTACTACCCCCAAATTGGTAACATACCTGTAATACCTCCATCCTGGGAATCATACGTAAACTTGGTGCTTTTATTTAACAAGTCCTAGTTGGGGGATATAATTTATATTCCTGTATAATGTACCTCAAAGTGGTAACATATCCGCAATAGACCAGTACTGAGAATCATACATACTTGTGTATATCCTAGAAAGAAATACGGGGACTCAAACGTCCCCTTTTGGGTGGGGACTCAACCGGCGGGACTCAATCGGCCGGGACTCAATCGGCCGAGTATTATTTAATTCAATATTAGCCATTCAATATTAGCCATTATTTAATTCAATATTACTCAACCGGCCAGGGACTCAACTGGCGGGACTCAACCGGCGGGACTCAATCGGCGGGACTCAAACGGCGGGACTCAATGATCCCCTACCGCAAAAATGGTGGCTAATATTGAATTAAATAATACTCGTATTAATTTAACTAGTTTAAATGAGAGAGCTGAAAACATTGAGGATTATTTGACAACGAAATACCGACTTTCCAACAAATTCAATCCAAAAATTAAATTCGCTATTTTATATAAAGAACGTTTGAAAGGATTAAAGATTAAACGAATTTATTGTTAAATTTATTCAATAATTTATTTTATTATTTTTTGGTAATTGATCAAATCCGCCCAGATTTTTTTTATTTTTTTTTCTGACATTTCCTAAATTAATTATTCTCACTGAATTCTTTTTCAGTTTATAATAAAAAATTGATTTTGGGTGGTTTTTAAAAATTATTAGGCAAATTTGTTTTATGCATATCACGTTTAATTTGGCTTTTTGATAAACATATATTTTTATTTTTTATTTTTTTCTAAAAATTTGTCGAAGCTCTTCCATACTTTTCCATATTTCTCTCTAATTCTCTTTAAATAATTTGTAATACTTTAATTCAATACCAAATCCCTTTCTGCCAATCGAGATTTTAACGATTCGATATTTTGTACCGCGGCCTGTTCAACTCAGTTTTTAAAGCTCTTCGAATGACACCTCATTTGTCAAAATCGATCCAGAAACAAATAATTAACAATACCCTCCGTTTAATCAGATACTTAATATGGCCTTATTGACGAAACTAACCATTGACGAGATTAACGGACACGATATTTTCGATTATTAAATAAACATACCATTCAAGTTGTCAATAATACATATTTTTTATTACTTCCATATGTTACATAAATTTATTATTCTCTCTCATTTTTCATAATTTTTTTCTTTTAAATTTTGTTATTTATTTATCTTTCAACAATCTTTATTTTTAGAATATTTTTTTATAAAAATGAGTACCTTCTTTAGCAATATAAAATCAACTATAGCCAATGTAGAAAATAAAATTGCTTCGTTTAACAAAAAGGAAGAAGAATGTGAAATACAAAAATTGGAAGAAAATGTTGGCAAAGTGACTGAAGAAAATGAAGAAATTAAAAAAGAGGGGGAAGAGGAAGAGGGAAAGAGTTCTTCTAAACCTTCACTTTTTGCTAGTATTTTTTTTTAATTTTTAAAAATCAGAAATTTTTTTTATTTTTGAAGATAAAATGTTTGGAATGGCTATTAAGGCTTCAACAAAAATACAGGAAGAAGCAAAGAATTTTACACCATTGGTTTTTTTAAATTAATTTTTTAAAATATTAAATTAGGGAAGTGTTCAAATTTAGTTGGGTCTCATTTTTATTCCTTCTCTATTTTTTTATTTATTTTTTAATTAGGGGATGTTCACAGCCAATTTTAAAACCCAAATTTTTGATAATTTCTGCCACAAATTAACCGTTTTTATGAAAATTTAAAAACCGAAAATGAGTATTTTTTAAAGAAAAAATTCCCCTAACAAGGAACCATCGTTTACTGTGTCTGCGAATTCGACATATTTTTTGGTACTATTCGATAGAGGACCCTCGATTTCCTATCGTTTAAATTTGCAGTAAACGATGGTTCCTTGTAGGTAAATAATAAACATTTTTAAAAATTGGATTAACTTAAAATTGAGGGTTCCGTGTAAATAACTGGTAGTTAACAACCCTTGTTTTAACAGTAAAAGGGGAGGGGGAGTAGTTGTTGTTTCTATTTGTAGGACTTTTTTTTCGTCCAGTCTCTTCTTCGAGTTTCTCTTCAAACTTGAATTTCCATTCAACAATTTTTCACTAATATCAAACAGAATGTGGAGCTTTTCCGTCTCTTATATTTTCTTTAACCCTTCCGAAAAATTGATTCCTTTAATTTAACTGTCAGAGTTAGGGAAAATGTTGAAGAAAAGGAAATTAGTCTCCCCAAAATTCCCCCATAATTTTTATTTAATTTCAGAAAATTATTGGTAATTTTGAAAAAGAACGACAAAAATTTATTGACGAATTAGAATCTGAAAAAAGAACAAAAATGGAAGATTCAAGTCAATTATGTCTTTTACTCGACAATATAGAGGCAAAGAGGCATATTATTTCGATTTCAAGTGTAAGAAGATTTTTGAGGGTTTAAGGGATTTTGAGGGTTTTCTGAAATATTTTTTAAATTTGGGGGTTTATTTTTGTTAAAAAACATTTTATTCTCGGAAAATAAGTAAAATAAAAATTAATTACCCTGAGCGGGTTCGAACCCTCTACCAATTCCCCCAGAAAATTTATTTATCCCACTTAACCAAAAAGTATATTTTTTGTTTAAGGACACAAAAAACTTTACTGAGGACCTGCCAATTTCTTCTGATATTGGAATTGAAGTTGAGGAGATTAAAACAAACGCTAAAGAATTTTTTAAGTTGGATCCTCGTTTAGAAGATGTTCGGTTTGAATTGGTGCCAAAAAGGTTTTTTGAATTAAAAAAAAATTTTTTTTAATTCTAAATTCTATTTCATGAAAAAATCAACTTTTTACAATTTTCAGAATCACAGAAGCAAAATTCTGGCAAAATTATGCCTATAAATTATCTCTAGTGAAGAAAGTACTGGGGGACAAACAGCCTGTTGTTGAACCAAATATAGTCCTAAATATTCCAGAAGAGGCTAAAACAAGTGCAATAGATGGAAAAGAGCAAATAAAAGGTATTTTTAAGTTTTTAAAATTTTGTTGAGGATTATGGCAAAAATTGATTTTTTGGTTAAGTGGGATAAATGAAAAATTTTTTTGAGAAAATTGACGCGGGTTCGACACCGCTCAGTGAAAAATTAATTAAAAAATAAATAAATTTTAGAATCAACAACAAATTTGGAACAAGAAGAGGACGATTCGTTAGAAAAAGATTTATTTGAGGATTTTGATGAATTTGAAGTAGTTAATGGAAATTGTGGTAATGGAGGAAAGAAGGAAGAAGACGAAAATAAATTAATTGTGGATGATGAATTAAATGATGAAATTAATGCTTTATTGGAAGGTGATAAGTAAATTAAATATATTTATTTTTTGGGGGGTTTATATGTATAACAAATTTTTGGTTGTAGATTTTTTAAACATTTTTTTAAAATATCCTTTCTCTGTGACTAAAAAATAAATTATATTTATTTATTTTTCTTGGTTTTTTTATTAATGCAACGAAAAAATAGGGAAATTTTTTTTAAATTTGAAGGGGAATGGAGGAAAAAACATGGGAAAAGGTTAATTTAATAAAAATCAAATCCGCTTATTTTGTCCGCAGATGCGTTCTGGGATCGTGGGATAAGCGAAAAACTTTTTTTGATAATTGATGTAGGTCCTTTGAGGAACTGATGATCCAGACATTGATTTTTCTGGTTCGAGTCTAGAATCTGGTCAATGTTCTCAGCCAAATCAAAATTCTTTAAAATTTCCGATCTCCAATAAAAACAAAAAACTAATAAAACTCGAATTAAAAAAATTTCAATTTTAATTGTTTCTCCCTTTAAAATTAATTTAATCCATATTACAAATTTAAAAAGTAAACATATTTTTAAAATAAATTGAAAAATAATAAAAAACTTGAAAAATAAATTGGTCAACATCTTCCCTCCATTTTCTTCCTTTCTCCCCTCCCTTTCCTCAAAAATCTCATTATTTTTGTTCAACCATACTAACATCAACTTCTTTTGTAGAATTATTTATACAACTTATAATTTTTATATCTTCAATACTATTTGATGAACCATTTTCTCCATTATCACCTCCACCACAATTTCCTCCCCCTCCACCCCCACGATTATTATTAAATCCTCCCATAGATTTAGGGAAAAATACTTCTTTATAAAATGAATTATTGTGTGTTGAACTTATATGTTGTAATAATGACCAACTATTTGGGCATTCTTGATTACATGTAGAACATAATAATGCATCTGGTTCTCCATCTATTAAAGAAAATTTTAAAGGGAATTTTCTGGGGAGGTTTTGGTAGCAATTTTGGGGTTGGGATTTTATAAGGGATGTTCTGCAACAACGAAAATGAGAGAAGAGAATGGATTTTTAGGTGGAATAGAAGGGGGTTTAAGGAGTTGTTCCAACGACTACGTTAGGGGGAAGAGGAAAAAGGGGATGGATTTTCTCTGGTAAAATTTTGGGATTGGGTTATAAGAGATGCTCTGCAACGACGAAAATGGGAGGAGAGAATGGATTTTTCAGGGAGAGGAGGAGGGGACTTGTGGAAATATTCCACGACGACGTTAGGGGGAAGAGGAAAAGGGGAAGGATTTCCCCAAGTGAAATTTTCAGAGGCATGGGGTCAACGCGAGTTTGTTAGAATGAATGGAAGTTTTAAAAAACCATATCAACTTCCCCCAATTTTCGGTACCCAATAACACCCCTAAAATTCCCCAATAATAACTTTAAAAATTATTTTAAAAAATCCAAACCAGGCTTAGGAATTTTACATGGATGTTTGCGATGTTCAACAAATTCAGCCAAATCTTTGGTAACCATACGGCAAACTCCGCAAATTAATATGTCATCAAAACCAACTGAAAAATTTTTCTTTACAATTTTTAGGGTGAAAACAGGGGTGGGAGGGGATATGTAAAATTTATAAGAAATTTAGTCGTTTCTCCCATTAATTGAAAATATTTATTTGGTTAAGATAATAAAAATGTGGATCGCTTAAATTTACGGGAAGGGAATTTAATTCAAAAAGGGATATGGAATAGTTACGAAAAAGTTGGATTTCCAAAGATCTCATAGATCGGGTTTCAGGTCGTCAAAATGGCAGGGAGTTGACTACGGATTTCGGATAACTCGTCCCATTCGCTTCCAAATAGGCCCATAGCCCTTTTTTCGGAGGGGGGGGGGAAGGGGAGGATTCCCCCTGGTTATGGGTCTGATTCAAAGTTTTCAGAGAGAAAAGAGAGAGAAAAAGACAAGTATTCGACTCGCGGATTTCGAATAACTCGCCCCATGCGATTCCAAATACCCACAAAGGCTGTCCCCAAAATTAAAAACAAAAATTAAAAGAACGAAACCATGTGGTTGTACACTAGCCAAATCTGTATATTCCAAATTTTCCGCAATATTTCTGTTTGAAGTATTGTAGTCGACTTTAATTCTTTTTGTTTGAGCACCTCCAGAAGGTGGTAAAGGTTGTGGCTGGTTTTGATTTCGTTTTCTAAAAGGAAAGGATTTTTAAACTTAATAAAAATATGTTTGTGTAAAACCCGCAAATTTACAAAAATTTTTCAAAAAAAAATTTCAAAAAAAAAACAAACCCCATCCCCTTTGCTACTCCAATACCAGGAGTAGTGCTAACTGTCATGGGCTTGCCAGCAAAGCCGGTTATAGCAAGTTTGCAATCTTCACAAAAATGAAAAATAACAAAATAAAAATTCTGAAAAAAATAAAAAAATTTGGGACAAACTGTCTGAAAATTAAAAATTCTAAAAAATCAAAATTTTTTTGAATCATTTAAACCCCAAAAAAGAGAAAATAAAAACTAACTAGTATAAAATTCCTGAAAATAAAAAATTATTTTTAAAAAAATTTTAAGTGGAAAGATAGAGAAAAAATGGAATGTTCTATACAAAAAATTAAATATTAAAAATAAATTTAATACAAAATTGGAATTAAAAAAAGGTTAAACCCAACCGAAATGGAAAAGTAGAAAAAATTAGATTTGATGTCTAAAAATCTAGGAGACCAAAAATAAGAATAAATTAACAATAAACCAAGGAAGGATATACCCAAAAAATCCACTACTTAAAAATATACTAAAATCCAAAAAATCGCGCAGAGATGCCCTACTCCATGTAAATGCAAAATCAAACGCCGTAGCATTTAAATTTTATGAAACATTTTAAAGTCCAACAACTCACCATACATCTAACAAGGAAAGGTTCCGAGGTCGAGACCGGGCTCATTCAATAGAGAATGTGGCCTTACTAACAAGGATTTTGTGCCGTTTTGCCCGTTTTTGATCTGGCCAAGATCTGGCCCTCCAAAAACCCAAAATTTACAAAAAGTAAAAGGAAAGCTTTTAGAAATCTAAAATTCGATAGAAGCCAGCCCTTAATAATAAAAAAATCCAAAAAAATACCCAAAGGACTTCCATGCCAGTTATATCCATTTAAAGCAGTCACAGCCAAATCAGCTTCACTCCCATGCGAAAATTGAACAAAAGCATATCCTTTAAAGACGGTCACGCCAATAAGAGTTCCATAAGAACGAAACAATTGAATAATTTCCTCTCTGCCAACTTTTGGGTTCATATTGCCGACAAAGACGCGGGATCTTAAAAATTGGAAGGAATGAGTAGGATGGTAAGAGGACATGTTGGGACAGGCATATCCGGGATATTCAAGTTCGAACGGTTACCCTATTGATTTCGGGACCTACCAGTGGGTCTTGGAAATACATTGTCCTATTGAAGTTTTTTTTATTTTTATAATCAATGTTAACAAGGAAAAGTGGCGAGATGTCCGACCTAAAAACGGTCGAGACCGGGCTCATTCGATAATGTTCCCTTTCTAGCAAGGATTTTGTGCCGTTTCTGGCCCTTTTTGATCTGGCCAAGAAGAAATTAATTTTGTCACACAATCCCTGATATGTCCGCTCACAGAATGAAAATAAAAATTTTAAACCTGAGAAGTACAGGATCCTTTGAATTTGTTTCATAGCTAATTGTTGCTCTGCAAATTTGAAATTGAAATAAAAGAAAAATGAATAACTAGAACCGATCGATTGAATTATCTTTTAAAATTTTGTGGGTATTATGTACAATAGTCTTTATAAATGTCCTATAAAAATTTAGATTAATTGGGGATTCGGAACTTTGGACCGAGAAAAATTAGGCGGTCTTATAGAATGTTGTGACTTATAGGGGGTTTTTTTTTGGCTGGACCGATTTGGACAAATGAGGTGTCATTCGAAAGAGCTCGCCGAGCTGAGTCGATCGCGGGCAGAGAGAAGTCGATCCGACAATCAGGGACCGAGATACAGACCCCTGAAGTTTGAAAAAGAGAAGGGGGGAGTAAGCTAATTTTGGGGTGAAAAATTCGAAAATGCAAATAATAGCTCTTTCGACTCAGCTCGTCGAGCTGAGTCGAATGACACCAAAATCAGCTCGATATCTTGATTCTGAGCCAAGATACAGGTTCAAAATGGTCACCATAAACCTATGGAGCGTCGGCGAGGCGCTTGTGCGAAACCCCGCGCTTCGCGCGGGGTTTCGCGGCACGCGCCTCGCGGGGAGTCTACGGGCGCTGGGTCTGGGCTCGTAACATAAACCTATTCCTATCTCCCTTGCTCTGGACGTATTTGGGGCCTCCGTAGCAGCAAAAATCTCCACAAATGCCATAGGTAAGGAGCAAAATAAAAGATCATAACTTTGTCCAATCAAGTCAGATTTCATTGATTTTGGTGTCATTCGACTCAGCTCGACGAGCTGAGTCGAATGAGCTATTATTTGCATTTTCGAATTTTTCACCCCAAAATGAGCTTACTCCCCCCTTCTCTTTTTCAAACTTCAGGGGTCTGTATCTCGGTCCCTGATTGTCGGATCGACTTCTCTCTGCCGCGATCGACTCAGCTCGGCGAGCTCTTTCGAATGACACCTCATTTGTCCAAATCGGTCCAGCCAAAAAAAACCCCCTATAAGTCACAATACCCGTCTTATAATTTCTTAACCCAGTACGTCAGAAAAATGCCCCAAGGATTAAAAAACAGAAAATGAAAGAAAAGCCCTATATTAAATCCAAATTACCCCAAAAAGTACCAGAACAAAAACTAACGTGGATAGACTGCCATAACCAGAATAACCTGTTCCAAAAGAGCTATATGCTAAAAAAATTATATTTTATTTTAAGAAAATAAAGGCAAACCGTTTGTGGTGTACATAATGTAGGAAAGCTTCAAAAATATATGTTGAAATTAAACACAAATTAAATTTAATTGAAAACTAAAAAATAATTAAAAAATAACAAAGAAAATAAAACGACAAAAAAATCAAAACAAGCCAACTAAAAACAAAAGAATTGTGGAGAGAGTCCTTTTTTCGTGTACCCTTTTGACTCTTTTCCCCAATAGTTCCATTTTGTCGTTCCACAGAAAAACTTCGTGTCCGGACAAAATATCGAATCGTTAAAATATGGAATAGGCTAAAAAAGGGTTAAAATCTCGAATCGGGTAAAAATGGGTTAAAATCGCGAATAGGCTAAAAAGGGGTTAAAATGTGGAATCGTTAAAATATGGAATGGTTAAAATATCGAATAGGCTAAAAAAGGGTTAAAATATGGAATCGTTAAAATATCGAATTGATAAAATGTCGACACGGCCAAAATAGGTCAAAATGTCGAATTTTTTAAAAATGGCGCCAAGACTAGAATCCGGACGGTACCATAATACCGATGGTATTTTTCGGTATTCTGTGTCGATAGTACGGTAAGGAATGTCGACCGATAAAATTTAAAAGCTGATCTGTATTTTTCGGTCTTCCGTACAGTATACGGTAAGGTACAAAATTTAGGTCTTAACTAAAAACATGTGCACGCCACTCTAATTTTTCCGTATCAGGATCGCGTTATGTTTTCCGGATCCGTACGATCATGCCGGACCGGATCCGGTCAATTATGCTTGATTTATCCGGTCCGGTTTTACTCCGTAAAATACACTTAACTCAGGCAGAAAAGATTACGCCGGACTACGACTTACCAAACTTTTCAACCAACTTATCAGCAGTAAGTTGATAGGTTGATAAAATTATCAACAATCAATGTATGGCACTCATCTGACCCTTTTTTTAAAAAAAATTCGACATTTTGACCTATTTTGGCCGTGTCGACATTTTATCAATTCGATATTTTAACGATTCCATATTTTAACCCTTTTTTACCCGATTCGATATTTTAACCATTCCATATTTTAAAGATTCGGTATTTTAACCCCTTTTTAGCCTATTCGCGATTTTAACCATTCCATATTTTAACGATTCCATATTTTGTACCGGAGCCAAAAACTCGTGCCCGCTCAAAGGATAGATGAATCAAAGGATAGATACGGCTAAAATCGATCAAAGGATAGACGCGGCCAAAAGCTGCTAAAGGATAGATAAGGCAAAAAACGATTAAAGGATAGATGCATCAAAGGATAGATGCGCCAAAGGATAGATAGGGGTAGAATCCATTAAAGTATAGACACGTCTAAAATTGGGTAAAACATAGATAAAGTTTGGAGTCCAGTTGAGTACCAACTGTTGAGTGCCTGATCTTTGTTTGTTTTTTTCCGATCTTTGTTCTGATTTCATGTTTCTGTTCTGATTTTTATTTTATTTGTACTTTAGTATATTCGCGGAAAAAAGTTTTTGCCGCTGCGGATGAAGCCGGGCATGTCGAGCGGAACGACGGCCGCCGCTTCGCTACGGTCGCCGCGAGCGAAGCGAGCACGACCGCAGCGAAGCAAGGCCATCGTGTAGCGAAGACCATGCCCGGCCTACCCTCCGTAACAGCACAAAAACAGTTTTTCCAGCGAAGATTCAGATTATTAAACATTTTTGTCCAGACTCAAACGACCTATTCAGCTGTCTATCCTTTGATCGCTTTTGGCCGTATCTATCCTTTAGTGCATCTATCCTTTGATGCATCTATCCTTTGATAGTTTTTGGCCGTATCTATCCTTTAGCGCATCTATCCTTTAATTCATCTATCCTTTGTAGGGGAGCCCAAAAACGGCTCCCATACAAAATACCGAATTCTTAAAATATGGAATCTCAAAATCGCGAATCGGCTAAAAAAGCTCAAAATATGGAATCTCAAAATATCGAATCTCAAAATATGGAATAGGCAAAAAAAGCTCAAAATATCGAAAAATATCGACAATGCGGCAAAGGCCAGTTGAGTCTGAACAAAGTTGTGACCAACTTCTTCGTAAAAAAATTTTAAAAATAAGAGAAAGTATTTTTCTAAGGTAAAAAAATGTGCTGATTACGAATCTCAGCTCGGATTTTGAAAAAGTCGAATCCCGGACCCGAACCGAATTTCGAATCCCGAACCGAATTTCGAGTTTCCGAATGATAGCTCATCTGAAAGAGCACGTCGAGCTGCATCGAATGATACCAAAATCAATGAAATCCGACCTGATTGGACTGAGTTACAGATCCCTGAATAATCAGAAAAAGACCTGCAGCGGCACTCAAACGGCCCTTTTCGTTTTTAAAAAATTCGACATTTTTAACTACTTTTTAGCCGATTCGGTATTTTGAGCTTTTTTGGCCGATTCGCGATTTTGAGATTCGATATTTTAAGATTCCATATTTTGAGCTTTTTTGGCCGATTCCATATTTTGAGATATTTTTACCGATTCGCGATTTTGAGCTTTTTTAGCCTATTCGCGATTTTGAGAATTCGGTATTTTGTGCGGGCACGCCAAAAACTTTATTTCTCTCGCTAAAGTTTCTCAAAAAATATAAACACAACGCCAATTTTGTAAAATTTGTTTATAAATTTAAAAGAAAATTTGAACATTACCGGAAGTTTAAGCCGTTTTTATAATTTGTTTTACACCAGTTCAAGTATTTTGTGTACCACTTGAAAGCTCTTGATAAGCAGATTTTTTTCTAACAGGAGTGATTTTTGTCCGAATATTCTGTGAAAAGTTAATGTGATACATACCTACATAAACAATTAAAATCATGATTTCTCACACTTATCAAGCTCTAACATTATATCGGATGTTCGGATTGACTAAACTTAAGAGAAAAAACAAACTAGAAATTTAGAAACTCTAAAACTCAAAAGAATATTTTTAAATAAAAAATTATTTCATCAATTATCCAGCTTTTCCTTTCTTTAAAAATTATTTTTTCTTCTCAAAAATCTCCCAAGATTTGAAGATTTATTCAAATAAAGGTGTAAATATATTGTGAAGAGTCTCTCTATTATTACAAATAAAATATTGTTACGCATTTAGGCTTTTGTTGTTTTTTAAGAAAAACAATTAATAGTATATAAATGTGGATGAGTGGGGAAAAATGAAACATTAAAAAATTCTGGAAGGATTTGAAGGGCTAATATTAATGAAGAAAAAGTTTGCCATGCGCTTAATAGTATTTTTATATTTTTAAAACAAATTAGCAAACTTTCACAACAAAATGTTCATTTCATTTATTTTTTCGAATTTTGTTTGTTTTCAATCAACAATGTGTGCAAACAAAAATTACAATGTTTTGTGAATGTTTTGTAGATGTTTTGTAAATTTTTATGGATGTTTGTAAAATTGTTTGTAACTTGTTTTGAACTTGTTTTGTGTGTTTTTGTTATTTTCACTAATGTTTTCATAGATGTTTTTCTAGATGTTTTGATCCTGTATAGGTATTTGCTTTATGTTTTATGATGTTTGTTTAAAAGTTTATGTTGTTTCAATGTTTTATGATGTTTCTTGTGTTAGTAAAACAGACTTAGATGTCTTGTTGATTTGTATTATTCTTTACGACAAAACATGTTTGCAACTCTTTCCGGAAAAGAACAAAACATGTTAAGAGAGAAATATAACAAGTTTGGCTATGTTGGTTTAATATGTTTTACTGGATGTTTTTCTAGATGTTTTTATCTTTTATTTTTCAAATTTTCCAAGTTTTTCTAATTATTATTTTATTTTGTTTTAAAGTTTTATTTTCACAACTTTATTTACTAAAATTTATTTATTTTTATTATTTTACCCAAAAATTCTTTTCCTTTGTTTTTTTTTCTAATTTCATTTTCACAACATAATCGCGCACACCCGCTATATTATTTTATTATTGGTGCTACTTTAACCAACTTTTAACTGAAACAAAAAAATTTTTTTACTAAAATTTCTACCACAATCAATTTGTGCACAAACAACTTTCTCTCTTCTCTCCCTTTTCTCTCATTCCTTTCCAGGAACAATTTTCTGCGCAAAATTGTTGTGATGATAAGAATTGATAAAAAAATCGCGATTGTTTCAAGACAATCCAAAATATCAATAAACTATATAAAAAGGCTTTTAGTGTTGATCTAATGGAGAAGGAGCTCTGATTATATTGAATTGTTGTTGTTATCGGCTTTTTAGCTAGTCTAGTAGCAGCAACATTCTTCTCATTTTATTTTCTTTGTCTTTAGTTAAAGATCTGCTGCAAAATTAGAAAGAAAAGGGGAGAGAGAGAAAGTTGTTTTAACTAAAATCCAGTAATGATAAAATATAAAAATATAAAAAGTTGTGTTTATTACGTAGAAAATAGAAGTAAAAGTGGTCACTAAAAAGGAGAAATAGTGTTGAAAAAATAAAAATATTATGGAAAAGAAATAGAACAAATAATTGGTTTGGGGTTGTAATTGTACTTTTCCGGTTGTATTAATCTTCCGGAAAATACAAAGTTATAAACAAATTCTGATTGTTTTACGGAATTGTGTTTTCATTGTGTTTCTATAAAATTCTGATTTCTATATTTTGTTTTCCGGATATTTTAATAAATAAACTTTCCGGAAAATACCTTCCGATAATTAAACAAATTCTGATTTATGAAAATTCTGATTTTATTAAAATTCTGATTTTTCATTATTTCTAGTTGTATTTATCTTCCAGAAATACTAAGTTTTCAAGAAATTCTGATTAGTAACGGAATTGTATTTTCATTGTTTGTGAAAAATTCTGATTTTAGTTTTGAGTTTCAGAAATAGGTAATGTATTTACAGAGTAGTATTTTAATTCTGATTTGTGTAAACTTCTGATTTTATTTATATTTTTTTGTTTAACTTGTAAAATAAGAGTTTTAACTTTCCGGTTGTATTTTACAGTTGAGCAGAAAAAATTTTTGGTTATATTTCTGATTATATACAATATGTAGGGTATATTTCTGGTTGAATTTCTGGTTGAATTTTATATAATCAGAAATATAACAAAAAATTTTT